TATTGATAATAGTAGCTCGGGGAGCTAGAGGAGCAGCGGTTCAGAGAGTTGTCAGACAGCAGGCAGAGGATTATCAGCAGCTTCATCAGTTTGAGGTGAGTTTCCCTTTGTGTGAATGGGTCTACGGCCACAATGCCGACCCATGTAGTTGTGAGTAGGAAGACCCGGGGGTTAGCCCTAGGCACTGTTTGCTAGCATGATATTCAATACCAAGGTCCAATGTCGGGCGGGTGCCCAAGGAATGGTTTGCATGATAGAGTATACTTGTTGTCTGTGTGATACTTGTATGTGCCTGGTAGGGAGGTGAGTGTGGGCGAGGTCCCGTATCTCACCAATAGCAGAGTGTGGATGGTGTTCCATATCTCATTAGCAGCAGAGCAGGGGCGAGGCCCAAGTTAGGAAAGGAGTGAGTGTGGGTTGGGCCCGTATCTCACTATCAGAAGAAGCGTGGACGGGGTTCCATGATTCATCAGTAGCAGGATAAGGGCGAGGCCCAAGATAGGCGAGGCCTTAGAACAAGATTCAGTAGTATATATATTTAGTTATGTGTTAGTATATGTTAGCGGGCGGGGCCCAGGGACAGGCGGGGCCTAAGAGAAACTGATCTGTATCCGAGCGGGGCTCGAAGCCAGGCGGGGCCTGGAGCGGCGGGGCCGTTGAAGCGGGCGAGGCCCGAGGTAGTGGGCGAGGCCCAAAGTAGCGGGCGTGGCTCGGTATTTGCAGTATATGATCATGCAGGGTATGTGGTAGGTTGGGGAACTCACTAAGCTTCGTGCTTACGGTTTTCAGTTTTGGTTTCAGGTACTTCCGGTAGCGGAGGGAAGAGCTCGGGGTGATCGCATGGCACACACCATTGATTAGACAGCTTGGGATGTTTTACTCTGATGAAATGAACAAGTGTTTTGAAAAGATACTCTGATTTGTTATATAACTCTTTTAGTATGTTTGAAATGATTTAATACTATGGTTTAGTTATGATTTAAAAATGAAATTTTTGGCCTTGAATTTTGGGATGTTACACAAGAAGCACCACAATCCTTTCGAATGCCTCTTCTTTCTTCACAAGCAACCAAGGTCACCAAAATAGGCTCACAACTCTTAAGGAGGAATTAGCGTTAGGGTTTATGAAACTTGAGGGCGATGGAGGCTGATAAGGAACCCTAAAAACGACTTAGAGGGGTTTAAATATGAAGAAACCCCTAAAAGAATCATGGGATTGGTCCAGGACAACTGCTAAGTCGTGAAAACCTTTGGCCACGCCGTGGCGGTCCAATAATCACACGCGATCCGTTAAACAATTGCCACGTCGTGCCTCTCCTTGGCCACGCCGTGACACATGATTTTCTCCAAAACTTCATCTTTGATCCCTGATAAAAGTAAGTTTAACCAATATAGAACACGGGTGTTACATTTTAACCCCATGATTATATATCACAAACATGTTTCTATTGTCACATTTCAATTAGAAGATGATAATTTGGGTCTTTTTTTGCATATTCGTGGTTACAGATCTATCTTTTGTGATAAAGTCGAAGAGTGCTCATAGCAGGAGCATTCTGGCAATCCAATTTCACAGCGTGTAGTCTTTACTTTCCAATAACTCCCACCATTTCTTATATTGTCATTCAATTTCAACCCCACATTTACCTCTCTTATACGGATTTCAATTAGAAGGCGATCAATCACCCGATATCCGTATTGTGATTTGTTTTGGGTAATTACCTCTCATACAGGAGCATTATGGTATTTGTATTAACATCTATTTGATGATAAAATTTGGTGGTTGTTTTTTTATTTAACTTCATTACAAGGCTTGTGATTGTGATTTGTTTTGGGCATTATGTTGCAACTATTTGTCAAATGCAACTTTGGTGGTCGAGATACAAAGTACTAATCTTGAGAATGACAAATTGTAAAAGTTGATGGTTCCATCCCCCCTATGCAAATCTTCCCTGATGTCGATATTTGACACTATTATTTACATAAAAAAAGAATCCTCTTTTCACGTTCTCCATTTTTGCTACCTTAATGATTCTATTTGCCATCGAGCTTAGGGAGTTCTTGTCTTCATCTGGTGCAGGGAGATAATGAGAATACTGTTGGATTAGGTGTCTAAGCCCATAACTATAATTGGTATGTACTTGAATTGATAGCAGCACAGTCCTTTTGGGTTGCCCTCAACCTAGCAACTGGACAAGGAAATTATGAAAGGAGAGATATTAATTTATAAGATTAATAAATTAATATATAAATGATTTATTAATATGTTAATAGATTAATATATTAATTAGAAATCATTATGTTTAATTAATAGTTAGCCAGAAATTAATCAGAATTAATTTTGGGGTTAAAAGTATTAATTGTAAAGTGAAGGGACTAGTTTGCAATTATCTAATAGTTGAGTGGAAGGCTCCAGAACCTCCTTGGAAGGAGGTGGACGAAATCCATAGGGGAAACCCTAGAGATTTCGTCCAAGGGGTCCAAATAAGGCCTTTGGATCTTGCTTAGGCCCTAAGCAAAGGATAACTAGGGTTTTCCCTAAACCCTAGATCCTTCAGCTATTTAAGGAGCCTCCTGGCTCACATTTGAGGTCACTGATTTCTTTGGAAGAAACCCTAAGGCCGAAATTGCATACTCTCTCCATCCTCTCTCCTCCAAGTTTCCTTCTTGCTAGTTCTTGGGTGTGATTTCATTAGAGGCATTACATTTGTGGTGCTAAGCTTCCAAGAAGATCAAGATCAAGATCAAGAGGATTATCAATTGTTTGCTATAACAATTGAAAGGTATGTAACTCCTAAACCCTAGTTTGTTAATTTCGAAATTAGCCTCTCTCCTCTAGGGTTCTTGTTTTGCAATTCAAAGTTATATGTTCAATAGTTAAAACATAGATCCAAAGTAGGTTGCATGTGAACTTAGGAATTGTTTTCTAGTTTATTTGTTTTACCTAAAACCCATCAACTACAGGGAAGGTGAGGACACGTGTCATCCTTTCTAGACCTTAAATATGTCTAAGCTAATAGAAAATGATTGATGTGGTCTTTTTATGATTTAATGTTGTTTTGTATCTATTCTAAAACTCATATTTTGATTTATTTATGCATGTGTGTAATAGAAAAACTAAAAATAAGATGATATAATACACTAAGTTCAAGGAATATTAAGTTATTTTCATGAATTAGTTTAATATATCATCCTACGTTCATTTCTTCCATTCACAACATTATACTTAAAAAAAAATACAATGAACTGAAATTAATGAAAATAAGATGACACATAAATGAAAGTAATTTAATAATACAATGGTTTTTAAGAAAAATATTAAAATAAAGTTCAAAAAATAAGAGATGGAAATGAAGTATGATGCTATATTTGACAAACATATGAAAGGACATTGTTATTTCTTGCATTTAGCCGAATCAGGGGCTAAATGCAAAAAATAGCAATGCACATTCATTTTATTTTTCTAATATATCATCTTCCCCATTTCTATTTCTATTTTTTAAAAATTGTTTATTTTTTTCTTATTAAACCATTATACTTTGAAAGTACAATGCTATAATTGTGTGTCTCTCTTTCTTTGTGTGTGTATATGTGTGTGATTCATGAGAAGGATTTTACAATTTTATTTTCAACTTTGAAAGCAACTCCATCTCCTATTTATACATGTGATTCATGAGAAGATGTTTAAACAAAAGGATGAAGCTATTTCCTTTGCTTTAACTATTTGTTTCCTTCAAGGTTCTAAAAGGCGTGAGGCGTAACGTGACGACAAGGCCAAACCTCAAGTGTAACGAGCCATGGCGAGCCATGACGTTTTTCAAGGCGTGATGTAAAGTGACGATTTTGTATTAGTTATAATTATATCATCACATAAATATAGATTTATATCAAATATAACTAGTTTTTAGAAGTGTTATATCAACAACTAATAACAAAAAGTTAACAAAAAACACAATACTTGCATGTCAGATTAGAAAAGACATAAAAAAGAGCAAAAAAACGTTTCTCAAACGAAAAAACACGTGTCATAACACGTCATAACGCGCCATGACATGTCATGTCATGCCTTGCCACGTGTCACGCCTAACAACAACATTATGAAGCTTTTCCTAACGGCGAAGTCGCACCTCACGCCATGACACGCCTTAGCGTGCGCCGTGACGCGCCTTTTAGAACACTAGTTTCCTTACAACTTTGTGGCTATGCCATTTAATCGTTAGAGGTGTTTTTATGGGTCAAAACCATTCGAACTTTGATCATGGCCGCTTATTGAGTTGGTGAATGGGGTATTTGGATCCATAGCTTCTAATTTTTATTTTTTGATACTTGGTGGAATGTCACGCGTCTGTTACTTTTTACGGTTTCATGTTGAGTCCTTTTTATAAATATAATGAATCTGTTACTTTAGCATATTTTAAGCACGTTTTGTTTTTATGTTCTAGATGTCAATTGAATTATACTAAGCAAAAAATAATAGGTAGTTGTTGGATTAGTGTGCAAACATATGTAAAATATGAAAAAAAAAACATTTTAATACAACTTGGACTTTTGGTTATTTGGTTTCAATGACCAAATTATGGGTTTGAGTGGCCAAAGAAGGTTTCTTAGAGAGATTTAAATGAATTTCTACCATTTCATACGTAGAGAGAAATGATGCATTATGACCGGTCAATCCAATCTCTTAACGGAATGAAGTGTATGTTTGATTTTAAATAAATGGAATTATAAATTATTAGTGGTTTTTACGAGTATTAACCTAGTTTTATAAAAAATGAATAGCATTCATCTGCCAAATGTAAAAGTATTTGGACTACAAGTGTGATTCATCCGATGAATCAATACAGTCGTCCGCCATACGTGGCAAAGTTCAAAACTGCCAGCAAATTAGAAACGTTTCGGCAATACATGATTTCGTTTCTCATCGTCAAGTTAGATTAGAAATACAAAACCGCCAAATTTCAAAGCGAACAATCAAGAAACTAAACATGGTTGCTTAGCCGATGATGGATTCTTCAAGAAATCCGGAAGAATACCCAATCCTTTCAAAACGACCACATTCCGAGAATGAGAATCTTGAAGATCGAATCAGCAATCTGCCAGATGCATTGTTGTGTTACATATTGTCTCTAGTTCCTACCATATGCGCTGTTAGAACCACCATTTTATCGAAAAGATGGAACACCCTCTGGACTTATGTCGATAACTATGACTTCGAAAACCCTAATGAGAAACATCAACATTTCATCGAGTTTGGGGAAACAGTCTTGAGGAACAGCAATGTATCATCGATTCGAAAATTTCGTCTTTCTTGTTCTTGGGGTGATAATGTTCATGGAATCTCTAAGCTTTATGTGTGGATTTGCACTGCAGTTGTGCGTAATGTGAAGGAGTTTGATCTCTCAATCAGAACGAAAACGCCCATCGAGCTTCCTAAAATCCTGTTTACTTGTGAAACCCTTGTCTCTTTGAAGTTATCTTCGACTAATTTCATCACAATTCCCGAAATTATTAGGTTTTCGAGTCTCAAAATCCTGCAAATTCGTCACTGGAAATGCATGGTTGATGATCCGATGAAGAACATTCTGGACTGTAGCCCTGTTCTTGAAGAATTATACCTTCAATTCGTCGTTTTTCAGAATCTGCAGAAACTAAATCTTCGTTGCTTCACGTTGAAACGATTAACGATTTCAACTCTATATCCAAAACCACTAAAAGAAAACTTGCTGCATGATGTTGTAATCGATACTCCTCGACTTGAATACCTTAATTTCGAAGACAGTCACTCTAATGGCATCGAACTGAATCAACTCCCTGTTCTAACTTCTGCAAATCTCCATATCTTTGGTCTTAATCTTGGTGTTTTCGAGTTCCTTTCTAGGGTTTCGAATGTGAAACATCTAATCTTGTTCCTTAAAGCTGGAATGGTAAGATATATTTACAATCTACTCCATTTATATTGTTATACCTATCAAACTAACTAAGCGATTTTGCAGGATGTTCTTCCTGTTCCTAATCTTCTGCTCATTAATCTGACCAATTTGGAAATTCAAGTAACTGATAACTGGGCGTTCGTCTGTTCTATACTCAAATGTTCACCAAATTTACAAGTACTTACATGCGAAAAGGTTAATCCTTCACATCATTATCATGATTCAGATTCCTTTACTTTATGATTAATGGGTAATTTGTGATTAGGCTGTTAGATGTAGCATAAATCGGCACCATGCATCAATCTGTGATTGGCGTGCACCAGTTGATGTGCCGAAGTGTTTGTTGTGTTTAACGAGGATCGAGATCAGGATTAATGGCTGTGATAATGAGATGGAACTGGTGAAGTACTTGTTGAATAATGCAATGGCGTTGAAGATGATGGTGATTCGTCGTTCTGTTAACTTTGTGAAGAAATGGGAGTCGAGGATTCTCAAGGAGTTGCTAAGATTTCGGAGAGGGTCGGTTATGTGTGAAGTTGTGTTTGGATCTTGAAATAGAAGTAGCCATGGATAATTAAGACACAAGTAGTGTGATTTTGATGGAAATGATTCTAAATGATCAGAACTAATATAAAACTAGAAAAATGACGTTCTTGATGAATGTAATTAATGAAAAGAAAATGCACACTTCAATAATATTTATTTTTAAATGTATCAGTATCATCTGGATAACCTGTTGAGGTTGATCTAAGATGATAGTTTGCATTTTCAGGTGATCAATGCAAGGTCTATCACACGAACCTCATGAGTAACTTAACTCACTATGGATAAACTTCAAGATATTAGAAATATCATCGATGACCTACATGACATGTTAATGAATCTTGATAAAGGATAAACTCGTGGTTACAGCAGCATACCATTCTTTTAGATAATAATATAACTTTGAAACAAAAAAAATGATCACATTGTTCCAAACCAAAAGAATCACATTTTACTTACCTCTACCTTATGCTAAAGTGAATCTATCCATAAATCCAAAATACTTGTAGTTTTCAACCTGTGACGTGAAATCATTATACAAATGTTTTTTTTTTATTCCTTCAAAAGACAATGTACAATGATGTCTTATTTCATGCAAAAATAACTGCATTAGTTTTTTGGTAATATGTTTAAAGAAGTTACTATTTTTATATATTCAATAGCATGCTTTAACATGTGCTGACAGTAATCGTAATAAGTATTACTAATAGCCAAACTACTTTGGTATATTATGTTTCTAGTCCGATATCAGAGTTTAAGATGAAACTATGAAGTATATAATATTAAATACCAGTAGAAACAAATTTATAACACAAAAAGCGCATCTAGTGTAGTGGTATCATAGTACCCTCCCACGGTACTGACCGGGGTTCGATTCCCCGGATGCGCAAATTGTTTTTCGCTTTCGCTTTTACTTATTTCCCCTTATGTAAAAAAGTTAAATTACAAGATAAAGTTAAACAAACCTTCCTCTTTCCCGGACTTTTCTCTTTTGATTTTTGACAACTCAATAATTTATAGTGGACATCATTTTAAAGTAACTTACCATAACTAACATTCCATGTGAACTATGGATGTTCCATGCAAAATCAAAGTGAAGAGAGTAAGCTACAAAAAGTAACAAAACACATGTGGAAGAGCGCTATAAGATCTCAAATTCTCAACTACGTGCAAGTCTAGGGCTAAACAAGGACAATTTTGATCCATCTCAAATGGCTATTAGGGATTAGATAAGTTTAGGAAGCCAAAAAAGTGGATGGAGGATGATGATAGTGGTGATGTTTTGCTTTGATTTGACCCATAAACAAAACCGATAAAAAAATTGTTTAAAAGTATTTATGTGAGTGATTTTGTATAAAAGATTATACAAAAAATGAGTCGATGTAGGGATTGATTGCAAACTGGCTAAAGAAAACAAGGTCAATGATGAAGAAGATAATGGTGTGTCAAACACATGCCACATAGATACATGGTAGCAAGAGTTAACAACTAATATACATGTAACATGTTTTTTTTATCACCTACGGTATAAAGAAAGTTTTAATAATCATTCATCATTCATCATTCATAAATAATAAACCAAGACACAAGAGTATGATAGTCCAAATCAAAGATATGGAGATGGAAAAGACAATCCACGTGAGCCCATATTTTAGAAAAAAATAAAATCAAATAAAGGTATAATAAAGATAGGCTATTATGATGCTTGATAATTTTGTTTCGGTATATTTATAAGGTTTATATAGAAATCATCTTTCATATAAATTACACGAATTTATGTATTCTCTATACTAAAATTAGATGTTGTAAAGGATAATACATAACAACAATTAAAAAGTAGTTTTTATAAGGACTTAAAATAGATACAAAGCTGTTTCGGAATATTATCTTTCCTATCATAATTGTATTCAATTTTTTTTTTAAATATTTAATTTTCACCGAAAGATATGTTAAACCAAAAAGCATTTAATGCGAGCAAAAGAATAATATTGGCGTTTATGAAATATTTTAAAGGTTTTTAATAAATAGCCGTGAAAAAAATCAACTAATAAAATCATAGATATTATGAAATCCGAGCAAATTATAATAACTGCTGAAGATTATTTTCAATTACTTTTTATTAAAAAACATTATAATGACTTTTGTAAATATATACATTATTTGATTACAAGTTTATAGCAAAAAGCCAAAAACTCTTAAATATATTCTGTAAAAGTTTATTTTATGAAACAAAAATTAACCAAGAGTATTTTCGTTTTACATGTAACGCGCTGTTGTGTGTTGTACTCAAAGCGAGTCCACGTTACCGTAGCCTATACTCACCCGCACTAAATTAAATCCCCTGCATTTCAGGTACAAGTAAACTAATAAATTGGCTGAAAATGCACTCGTGAGATTTTCTTCTTCCATTTTCAAGAGCACAAAAAAGGGAGCAAAAATTCGTTCTGCGAACTAGAGACCACCAAAAAACCCTAATTGAATTCAATCTTTTGGTGTCTCTTTTCGCAGATCCAGTTCACAAACATGGTTTCGAGTGCCAAGCTAAAATCTGTCGATTTTTACAGGTTTAGTTCCACTATTTTCAACTTATATTTGGGAATTTTTGTCCATGTGTAACTGTTATCATTGATGCTTCAGTGCTTGTGGACATCATAAGTTTGAAAAGTATGTGCTATTGCTATTGATGAGTAATTGCGTTGTTTACTTTGCATTTGGTAATTTTTTGCAATCGTTTCATGCGTGCATATCAATTGATCGTGGTGGTGTATTTGAGGCCCTGTTTGATGATTGTGCTCGATCTCTTTTGATGTGCTTGTGAATTTCGTTCAACTGATACTAACATTGCGGTTAATGTTGAAGTTGCTTAGAGCCATTTTTTTTAATCCGACATCGAGTAATGACGGATAGATTTAAGTCCGATAGTCACTGTGTTAGGGAGCAGGAGTTCTAGATCTCGAACTGAATTCATAGCTCAATTACCTCATGTTTTGAACCGATTTACTCCCATTTCGATCTGAAGCTGTAGAGACGGATTTCCCAGATTTACCCTAATTAATTAGTTACATGCATTTGCAATTGGCACAACATATTCAATTCAAGCGTTTTTCTGCAAAGGGGACTTGATTTCTTGAATTCCTGTGGATCTTGAAAGACTCATAAATGAAACAAGAAAGACCAGAAAAGGTGGCATGTTTTGACCAGGGAGTCCATGAAGATATTTATTGTAGATAGATAATAGAATGGTATAAGAGTAATGATGGAGATAGACTAAATGGATAATGCCTATGCTTGTAAGGTATCAACCATGAAAATCAAACTTACAAAAAGAAACCTTTAAGAGTCACTTTGTATTCAATAATTGGGAACTAAGTCAAGTCAAATTACATTACTACAGAATATTCTAGATCCACATTCCTACCAAAACTAAGATGCCTAGTCCTTCCAAAATAAAACTATACAATAAGCAGTTAAATGATTGATTGAATATAATGAAATACTTTTCTAATAATAAAATCGCCAACAATCAACTTAGTAACTTAGCCAATTACATATATATATTACATTGTAAGCCATTTCATATTTAATGACCAGCATGTGAATATTTTACATATATATGTCACATACACAATTGTCCAAAGCAGATAATCACTTTGTATTTACATGATTTATATATTCTTTAATTTTATGGCAGGAAAATCCCAAGAGATTTGACAGAGGCGTCACTTTCAGGTGCCGGCTTGTCTATCATAGCAGCTGTTTCCATGATGTTTTTATTTGGAATGGTAGGAACAAAGATTCTCATCCCTTTAAATACCTTATGTAGACTCTTGTTCACTAACAACTTATACATGCCTGCATTTCTTTTGTATTATTTTTAACCTTTATGCTTTTGTTTTTGTTATTCTTCATAGGCCATTGTTATCAACTGTTATTGACTTCTTTTTTGCTTTCATTGCAGGAGTTACATAATTATTTGAGCATCAGTACCTCGACATCTGTCATTGTTGACAGAAGTTCAGATAAAGATTACTTACGGATAGATTTTAATATTAGGTATGCCCCATGACAATTAATCTGCTTTTTTTTTTTTTTTTTATATCACAGTAGAAAGATAGTTATGATTTTAGTTGAAATGTCTATCATCTTAAATAATTCCAAATTTCCAATGCAGTTTTCCAGCTTTATCATGTGAGTTTGCATCTGTGGATGTGAGTGATGTACTGGGAACTGTAAGTTTCAAGATCTTACCTTTTAATTATTAATTTACATTTTAATTATCAAATTAAAATTCTCTTTCTCTATTTTGTTTCTGTTATTTGCAGAACAGGTTGAACATAACAAAAACAGTTCGCAAATACTCAATTGATAAACATCTAAGAGCTACTGGCTCTGAGTTTGACTCTGGACCTGTTACTAATATGCTCAAACATGATGCTGATAATGATGAAGAATATGGTGAAGGATCTGTTGCATTAAATGGACGCAATTTTGATAGAATTTCTCATCAGTATGTGAACATACAATTTACTCTCTTTCTTGGATGCTTTACTTTAATTTGCTGAACTTGTTCATGTTAAAATGATTTTCTAATATATAACAACATTTTGTTTTGGTCAAAATGCAGGCATTCAATTTTGGTTGTAAATTTCTATGCTCCTTGGTGCTATTGGAGTAACCGTTTGGTATTCCCATACATACCCTCCTAACTATTTTTAATACCAAAAAGAACATTTTAAGTGTATTCATTTTTTTCTTCCTTGTACAGAATTTTCAATAATACCCTTATATTTATTAGCTTTTTATAAACTTGACTTACAGCTTTTTTTTTATTACAATAACATTATAAGTTATATCACTAGACAATAATAACCAAAATAAATTATTCGTATATAGTTAATTATCATTTATCATATCATTGAAACAAACATTATCAATTGCGTTCAAAACATAAGAATTAAATTTAATATGTACGATAAATTACTATCAGTTGAATTTATAATATAATATTAC